AACCTTTACAATGAAAATTACAAAACTGCTTAAAGAAATCCAAGAAGACACAAACAAATGGAAAAATATTCCATGCTCATGGATAGGAAGAATCAACATTGTTAAGATGTCCATCCTACCAAAGGCAATCTACAGATTCAACTCAATACCCATTAAGTTACCAACATCATTCTTCTCAGTCTTGGAAATGACAATACAGAAATTCATATGGAAACATAAATGACCACAAATAGCTAAAAAAAATCCTTAGCAAAAGAAACAAAGCAGGAGGTATCACACTTCCAGACTTTAAACTTTACTATAAGGCTTCAATAATCAAAACAGCCTGGTATTGGTACAAGAACAGGCACATAGACCAATGGAACAAGACAGAAAGTCCGTAAGCAATGCCTCAGTTCCTCAACCAACTCATCTTTGACAAAGTCTCCAACAACAACCAGTGGGGAGAGGAGAACCTATTCAGTAAATGGTGCTGGGAAAAGCGGTTGACCACATACAGAAGATTGAAACAGGACCTCTACACAGAAATTAACTGTAAATGAATCAAAGACCTGAATCTAAAACCTCAAACTATAAAAATCTTAGAAAATGCAGGAGTCACCCTTATGAAAATTGGAACTGGGAACCAGTTTCTATTCAGAACCGTAAAGACCAATACCTTAAGAAATAAAATAGACAAGTGGGACCTCATCAAATTAATGAGCTTCTACAAAGCAAAAGAAACCATCAAGAGAGCTGGGAGGCAGCCCACAGAATGGGAAAATATTTTTGCCAAGTGTCTATCAGACAAAGTCCTAACATCTAGGATCTACAAGGAACTCAAATGCACTGAAAGGAAAAAAACAAACAACCCCTTTAAAAAGTGGGCAAAAGACATAAATAGATACTTCTCAAAAGAAGATATATGAGCAGCCAACAGACACATGAAAAAGTGCTCAGCCTCTCTCATTATCAGAGAAATGCAAATCAAAACCATATTGAGATACCACCTAACCTCTGTAAGAATGGTAATAATTAATGAAAGAACAAACAACAAATGCTGGTGAGAATGTGGAGAAAAACCAACGCTTCTCCACTGCTGGTGGGAATACAAACTAGTACAGCCTCTTTGGAAGACAGTGTGGTGATTCCTGAGAGAACTAGAAATTGACCTTCCGTATGACCCAGCAATTCCCCTATTGGGAATATACCCAGAGGAACTCAAATCATTCTATGGCAAAGATACCTGCACACATATGTTCATCGCAGCCCTATTCACAATAGCAAAAGCAAAACCATGGAACCAACCATGTTGCCCATCGAAGCTGGTCTGGATAAAAAAAAGTGGTACATATATACAATGGAATATTATGCAACCATAAAGAAGGACAAATATATGGACTTCGCAGCAACCTGGATGGATTTGGAGTTGATCATACTCAGTGATTTATCACAGAAACAAAGAACTGAATTCCATGTGTTCTCACTGATAAGGTGATCTTGAACAATTATAATGCTATAAGAAAGCGATTGACAGTAGTGGCAAACTGTCAGGGGAGTGGGGTGAGACTGGCAGTTGAGGGAAACTGCTAGAGGAGGGAGGGACATACCTCATCAACAAGGGTACCTGCATCATCAATGTTTATATACCTAACTCTGAATTGTACCCCACATCTTTATAATAAATACATTTTTTAAAGGGCAAATACATGAATAGATACTTCTCAAAAGAAGATATTTGAGCAGAAAATAGACACTTGAAAAAATGCTAAGCCTTGCTAATCATCAGAGAAATTCCAGCACTTTGGAAGGCTGAGACAAGAGGATTAGCTGAGCTCAGGAGCTCAAGACCAGCCATGGCAACTTGATGAGACCTCGTCTCTACAATAAATCAAAAAATAGCAAAGTGTTGTAGTGCACGCCTGTAGTTCCAGCTACTTGGAAGACTAAGTTGGAAGGATCGCCTGAGCCCAGCAAGTCAAGGCTGCAGTGGCCATGAGCATGCCACTGAACTCCAGCCTGGGTGACAGGGTGCAGCTCCAACTAAAAAAAAAAAACAAAAAAAAGACACCTTCATTATGAGAGTGATACAATAAAAAATTTATAAACATCAATTTGATGTTTTTATCAAACAGGAAAGAATGCATGTGAGATGCATAGAACTTTTATTTTTTATTCTATTTAACATTAGAAATAAACCCCTCAACAGTAAAATATATCAAGAAAGAAAATCACCTGAAGACAGAAAATAAGTGTGATTATTTACAGATAGAATAACAAATTATATAGAAAATGTATAAAAATCTATACTTGAAAATATATATATAATATGCAAAACCAGCAAAACAACTGAATCTAAGATCAACATACAAACTTCAATTGTATTTTCACCTATGACAACAAAAATTTCTTTTTTTTTCATTGTTTTGTGTATTTATTGCATTGAATAAGTGGTATACATAAAAAAGTACTCTGTTGTTTCCATTCTCTGTATGGAAACTTCCTAAGTAAAATTACTTGCTTTAAGAGGGCATTTTACTCTGTTTAGCCTTTTGAACCAGATTCCAAAAACCAATGCTGGTCTATTGAGATACCTGTTTGGGGTGTTAGACACCATTGAACAGAATTCCTTATCCAATCTGATGATGGTTTACAACTTGGCAGTTTGTTTACCCCAAGAGTTCTTGGGCGATCTACTTCCTGCAACTCTGAAATAGAAAATGAACTAAGAAAACAGATAATGAGATCCCTCATTTTTATGCCCTAGGGAGCAGAAACCACTTTCAACACGAAAATCAGGAATGTTAACTCTGAGGAACCATTTTTTTTAAGGTGCATACATCAATTGCTCTTCTCTGGAGTGGCAAAGTCATTTATCCTATTCTGGGAGGGATGGTTGGTAATGGGAAGGAAGGAATTAATTAAGCAGGAAATTGGGAGCAGTGAGTCACTTCTTTTCCATTTAGGAGTTAGCACACTAGATTGTCTAAACTATATTGAGATAAGAAAGTAGTGTGATATGATAGAAAAGAACCCGGTTTGGGAACCTGAGAAACCAAATTCAACTTCCAATCTCCTCATTGAGGGATGTGTAACCAAAGATTCCAAGCCACAATTTCCTCAACTTAACTACAGCAGTGGTAATCATACCCATCTCCTTGGTCATAACTAACATTTCACTGGTGGTTGGGATCATATGAAGACCCATGACACCACATAGATTGCCTTTCTCTGTCAATTGCAGCCACAATCAGCATTCCAAGAAATGCTTGCCACTGTTCATCTCTGCTACTTGAGTGAGTTTAGTAAAAGGACTCCAGAGTATTCTACCAGAGCTACAGTATCTCTAGTACAATCACAGCATTTTCCCAAGCACATTTGGAAAGCCTTCATAAGGCCAGGCTCTCCCCAAAGCATGGGGCTTTACTACAGTTAAAGAAAGCAGACATTTTCTTTGCAGCTATCTCCTTTCCTCACAAAAGATCTACAGATATTCTCTGCTTCCCAAGTTTAAGATGCTTCACTTAAGAAGTGAATTTCACAACTTTTTGCCTATTGGGTGCTTTATACATTTTAATTAGAGAATACATGTGTTCATCTCAAGCATCTGATGTGGGTTATGTGAAAATGATACTATTTTTAAGAGGTGGCCATTGATATAAAAAAGTTTAGTATTAAACTGGGCTACAAATGATAACTTTAGTCTAATAAGTATTTTTAATATTTATGCTATATTTTTGAAAGTATTATGGTTGCTTCTTACAAAAACTGTTTATATATTTACACAGCAACTCTGAATTTTTCTCAGAATCATGAATGTCATGTTTCTGTTAGCTCCAAGACTCATATATGAAATATGATTTATAACTATGCCAACTGAAAAAAGAGCATTCCATTTTTGTCCTTTTGTGTTACAGGTTTCTCTTGTATAGTTCCTTATTGAAAACTGCCTCTCAATTTTTGAAGATATCACTTCCCTCTTGTAGAAGAGCTCAGTGAGTTATAACAGAGAGAACGCTACAGGCAAGGTGAATTCTGCAGACATAGCTTCAGGTGAGGTGACTTCAGGCAAGGTGGCTTTGGGTGAGGTGGCTTCAGGAGAAGATGGTTCAGGCCAGCTAGCTTCAAGAGAGAAGGCTTCAGGAAAGGCTTCAGTCAAGAAGGCTTTATGCAAGAAGGTTTCAGGTGCCATGCATAATTTAACTGTTTTGATGATAGCAATCAGCTGGGCTGCCAGGGATCATGGAAAATGCCTAGGCTGCTGCTCTCCTGGCATGCAGGACATGTCTCAAGTACAATGATGCAGGGTCCAGGACTTTATCTGCTCCTTCTCCACAAGGTTGGCTCTCAGGAAAGGGGAGACTATGCACTGAGAAATATACTTCCCCCATAGTGGATCATCTTCAGTGATATCAAATTCATTCTAGCCATAGAAGGCACGCCCCTCTGACTAACTTCACATGTGTTTAGACCATTCTGAAGATTGGCTTGGAGAATGCTTGCAACTTCACTGACTAGTAATTCACTTACTTTGTTTTTATGTAAATACAGGAATTCATTTTCACCGTTAAGTATTGTTTGAAAATGTGCACACTCAGGAGACAATAAGAATCTGCTTTATTTATTATCATGCTCTTCTTCCAAGTTTCTCAGGCTGGTCTCTAAACCCTGGGTTCAGGCAATCCCCACACCTCTGCTTCCCAAAATGCTGGAAATATCGACATTAACCACCACGTCTGGTCATAATATTCCTTGTCTCATAGGCAGAATGGATATGCATTTCTTACATATATAAACTTTATCTTCCATGGACACTGTACTGGGGTGGTGGATACAGAGTCGCTAGAGTCAGCTGGAGCCACACCAGCACAGATGGGAGAGGAGGCCAAGGAAAAGAAACTCTGGGTCCCCAGCCGGCACTCCTGCACCCTTCTGGCTCCCAAGACTGCGGCCACCACTCCCAGTAGTGGCATCCAAGGACAAGGAGGAGCTGTTGACAGCCACACACAGGCGGGAGGTGGTCAGGTTGTACGGGCAACAGAGGGCTGTGGGGAACAAGCAGAGAGCAGGTGAAGCCAGTCTTCAGTCACACGCTGGCTCCAGATGACCAACAGTTCGATTCCCTCATCTGCCACCGGCGCCCCACCCTCCACGCTGCTCTGCGCTGCCAGGTCTCCAGTGCAGCCGCCACCACCAACAAAAATTTCTGAAGTAAATTTGTAATAAAGGTGTAATTTACAAAAACAAGAAAGGAAGATATCTACATCCCTGTATGACTACAAATCTAAAAAGTAAAATAATGTGATAGAGAGAAAATAAAGAAAATCTAATGTATTGAAGATCACAATCAGATATTGATTGGGGAAGTCAACATCATAAGGATCCCAGGAGTTCCAAACCAGCCTGTACAACATAGTAAGACCTTGTCTTTGCAATAAATAAATCAATAAAATAACAAGGCATAAAAAAATAAAAATAAAAAGCCTTATTCTTTGAAAATTTTGTTAGAGATTAAATGTAGTCCCAAATGTCATCCCAGGAGAGTTTTTTCTTAATGACTTTATTTATTTCATGTCAGATGGGTAATGTGCTGAAGTCATAATAAGATTCAGGAGGCACATCTCACACTGCAAAAAGTTTGAGAGGTGGTTTTGTTTGTTTGTTTAAGGTGTTATGTATATAGTATAAATTTCATCCCCTTAAAATTTTTACTATATTCACATCTATATCTATAAACTTTGTCTTCCATGGACACTGTACTCGGGGTGGTGACTACAGTCTCTAGAGTCAGCTGGAGCCACAACAGCACAAATGGGAGAGGAGGACAAGGAAGAGGAACCCCGGTCCCCAGCCGGCACCCCCATGACCCTTAGGCTTCCCAAGGCTGCCACCACCAGCCCCAGTAGTGGCATCCAAGGGGCGAGGAGGAGCTGTCTGCAGCCACTGGGTGCACTGGCAAAGAGGACTTTTTGATAGTTACACCCAAAACCGCTATCAAAAAGAAACACTGTATTAATTAGCAATCACTTTCCATTCCAACCTCCCTAAATCTTTGGCAACCACTATTCTACTTTCTGTCTCTATGAATTTGCTTATTCTTAATATTTCATACAAACAGACTCACATAACACGTAACTTTTAAAAAGGTTGAATTCCATAAATGTATTGATCAGCAAAAAGAGCCAGACACAAAAGCAGAGATATCTGTACTTGGTAATGTGTGTAGTATGCTTCAGTAACTGATTTGGAAATTTATTTTTATTATTAAAACAACACAATTCATTTTCAGACTTATGCAATCAAAATATTACTTCCATTTAATGAAATATAAAACTATCTGACAGACTCCAAACTCAGGTACTTGAATTCTAAAGCTTATGCTTACAACTATATCATCGTGAAGTTCCACATTTTTCTGCCATAGCTGCCTGTAAGTGCAACTTTGCACAGTTGTGGTTATCAGAAATCAAGTCTGTTATTCTGTAATGGAGAAAAAGTTATAATTCTGTTATATTCTGGGAGGATAGTCCATGAAACAAGAGAATTGTCTATGTACTATAAGAAAATAATATTATGAAAACAGATTATAACATTTTCATATAACATTAGTAATAGCTGATTATTAAACAAAACTGAATACGTAGTTTCCTCTTATTCTCGGGGGAGACATTAACCTCAGTGGGTGCCTGAAACAATGGTTAGTGCCAATTCCTATATGAGTAAACACTATGTTTTTCCTATGCATACATACCTGTAGGAAAGTTTACTTACAAATTAGGTACCAAGAGATTAACAACACCCATTAATATAACATAACAATGATAACAATCACTATTCTTGCATCTGAGGCCCTTATTAAGTTAACTAAGGGTGAGGAACACAGGCACTACAATGACAGTGAGTCTGATAACTAGATGACTACTTAGTGACTGAAGGGCAGGTGGTATATACAGTATGGATACTCTGGACATAGCAATGATATTATGTTTCAGGTGGCAAAGATAAATACTACCAAAGACTTGAACATGCTACTCAGAACAGAGCACAATTTAAAACTCATAACTTTTTGTAATTTTTCTTATAATATTTTTGGCTGGGGTTGTTCCTGGATAACTGAAACCACAGAAAGTGATATTATGGTAAGGTGTCAACTGTAGTCCACTATTTTTTTTTTTTTTTGAG